CTGAGACCTACCTGCTCTCGAGCCAGATCCCACCCCTGTGGCTTCCTGCAGGCCTCCTGGAGGAGGTGACCCTTCCCACTTCTGTTCTGTGAGGAAGCCCGAACCCCATGTGTGAACACAACCACCACGCCTCCAACTGAAGCAAAGTCTGCTCCCCAGCCCCCCCAGGGGCTCCAAACAGGCTGTTTCGACAGCCTCTCCTGTACATTCCTCATAAGGTGAGCCCAGCTGATACCTGTGCTGTGCCTGTCAGGTCAGTGTCCAGGGCAAGGGTGGTGGCCACCCCGGGGTCTGCTGCCAGCTACATCTGGCCTGGGTTCACTCCACATCACCCCCATGCCATACCAGGCTGCTCCTAATACAGAAGACAGACCAGCACTTCCAAGCTTCACACATCTGGATAACGACTTTCCTTGCTTCCTGCTCTGGGACTGAGACAATGCTTTTCAGTCTGAACTGAGTCAACTCCAGTTATGAGAACATTTCCCCCAGCACCGCCCCCCCCCCACCTTGCCCCCAGCCCTCCCAGCCCCTCGACCAGGAACTCCTGCTTCTCAGGAATCAGACGCTGCTGCTGGGGGTTGCGGCGGCTGTCCCCAGTCACGTGTCCATAGGGCAACCTTCTGGTCCTCACAGCCCTGAACTGGTATTTTCCCAGTGTCACATTCTAGCTGGGGACGTTCAGAGTGGGGAGGGTCCTCACAGGAGGGTAACCAGCTTCTAAAGACCTGCCTGGGGCTGTGGGTCCATGATCTGCGTGGGCATCATGCTACTTAGTGATGCCCACTAGATCAGTGCTTTCAAAATGGAGGGTAGGACTCTGGGGGGCACAGGTATCTGGGTGGGTCTGAGAACCCAGATGTGCCCCCCACACAGCTGCAGCTGGGTCCACTTACAACTACACAGCTGACCCTGCACACGTGGGGGTCAGGGCATGGACCCACCTTGGCAGTGAGGATCCAAGAACTTCCAGCTCACCCCAATGTCACTACTGATGGTCTGCTGTTGGCCACAGGCTTACGATGATACCAACAATCCAGGAACACTTACTTTTTATGTTAGTTGTTTCAACCACTGTCCTCTTCCAATAAAGTCGCTAAAGAAAATTAAACACTGTAAGGAAATCCTAAGGACCACACCCTAAGGAGCGGATGGCACAGTGAGCAGCAGGTCAGAGCGCAGCACTGTGCAGCCGGCCGCAGCCACTGCAGCACGAGTTCGATCCCCGGCCAGGGAGGGACCCACAAGGCACGGCAGACCTCTCCTGACCCGCCCGCTGCTCCCCTCAGCAGTGTACTTCATCCATCTGCCTGTTCTGCTCCCTGCTCTGTCTCTGGTGAATCCTCTCACCTCTGGCCTGTGCCCCAGTTCTGTATGCAGAAATAAATAAATCTTAAAAAAAAAAAAAAAGAAGAAGAACATCTGAACATCTGTATCTAAATGGAGCAACCTGGCATCTGATCTGCAGCTCAAGGAGAACCCGCTCACCTGTTTGCAGGTGCACATGGCCCTGCTGGGTCCCCATCACAGCTCTTCCCAGGCCAGCTGCATGTCACGCAACAGCCTGCGTTTCTCATCAGCTCCGAGTAGTCGCACACTCCCTCCTGGGGGCAGGGGAGGCTCCTGCGGGCCCCACCTGGCCCTCCAGCCCTGCTCCTCCCCTCCCATTCGCAGGCTTCCGCAGGTCACATTCTTCCCCTCACAGGTGACTTTACGCGTGACCCTGCGCCCCCAGCAAGGTCTCTCTCTGCAGCACAGGACGTGTTGGGGAACAAGACAGAACTAAATCTTTGCCTGCAGCGTAAGTTTCAGGAAGGCTGGGCTTTCCTCAGCTGCCTCACCGGTCCCCACGCTGTGGTGCGAGGGACACGGCAAAGGTGGCGCGGGAGGGTGAGGAGCAAGAGCCGGGAGTGCGGGACCACGTGGAGCACCACCGTGGCTCCCAGCACAGGAGGGCAAGCTGGGCCCGTGGAGTCCAGGGCAGAAGCCGAAGGTGGGCGCTCCGACAGCACGTCTGCAGCTGTCCTGGGCTGCACCAGGACTCGCCCGGAGGGCCTTCCAGCGCGCTCTCCCAGAGGATGCTCGCTGACTAGAGGGAGGCTGGAGGCGCTGATGAAAGGAGAGGTTAATCCCAGCACGGACAAGGACACTTCTTAACGCAGGCGAGGGCCCGTGGACATCGGGAGAAGCCCCAGGAAGAGCTGGCGGAGAGAACAGTCCCCTGGAGCACAGGCATCGGAATCGGATGGCGACTCTCTCCGACACGTGGCCCTAGGGCGGCGGCTGGCCCTGCTCCTCAGATGGGTTGTGGAGGTAACAGGAGCCTGTGCAAAGGCTCACCCATCTCCTCGAGGAAGGGAGACCAGTGGGTGAGCCCCCCAGGGGTTTTTGGGGTGCGTACAGAGAGCACTTAAAATTCCACCAAGAAATGCTGCAGAGCAGTGGCCGGCACGGTGCACCGAGCTGGTGGCCTGCCCTGTCTCCCTTCACACAGACGCGGTGCTGAGTTCTCACTCTGCTTCAAACCTGCAGTCGCTCCTGGGGGTGGGATATGCGGAGCGGGCTGGCCAGCCTTTGCGAGCACAGCGAGCCCTGGACGGGAGACCGTGGCTTCACCCTGGTGGGCTCTGCTTTCCAAATGCTTGGGAATAATCAGAGACAGCAGGCTGCCCTGGGAGAACCATAACACCCAGCCACAGGAACAAGGCCCAACACTAGCAGGATTTATTGGCTTTGATTAACAATAAGGTGTTTGTTTTTGTAGGTAATTAGAGTTCAATAGCGAGCCATTAAGAGTCCTCCGAAGAAATTCTAAACAGACTGTAGCTCAAGGCTACTAACTATGACTGAATCTACCCATTCATCCCTGCAGACCTCCTGGGCTAAGAGGCCAGTGTTTGATCTGGCACAACCAAGCAGGTCATCAGCAAGCAAATGACCCAACTCGTTTTTAATGTCCAAGGAGAAAGGCCTCTGTGAGGTAGGCGAGCGCGGTGCGAAGGTGGCCGGGGACAGTGCAGCTCATAGAAGCACATCTACTCAAAGGCCCACAGCTACCTGCAAGTTGGGGGCTAGTGTAACGGCTCAGCAGTCTCACAACCATCAGGTAGCTGGTTCCCAGCCGCCAAGCCCGCCCAGCGGGTCATCTGCTCTGATGGGGGGTGGGGGGGAGCAGATGTTACCAAAGCAATCTTCCTCTAGGCCTTTCCCCACCTCGCACCCAATCTTGGATATAGGGTTTCAACAACCCAGAGCTCTGACCATCACTTTGATTACAATTCATTATTAAAATTATTCCTATTTCTATATTGCCTAGACAATACAGTCTGGGCAAAGTGCTATCAGAATATTTTAAAAATATCATCCAGATGAAAGAAACGTACATAGAGAAGACCCGCTCCCTCTGGCTCCCCCAGTCCCTGAGTCAATAACATGCCGATCTCTCCTAAACCTCAGAAAATTTATAAAGTTATTTCCACTCTTGAAGTCACATCATGATATCCCCTACTCCCCTGGGGAGGAGTGAAAAAAATGAAAAAAGGGGCCAGGTAAACAAAAAAAGACCCAAACTAAAGCCTCAGGTATGGTTCACTCTAGAGGAAAACAATGCTCTTGTCCTCCCCAGGAAAGACAGACTTTCCTCTTGCAGAAGGTTAAGATCGAGGGTCCCAGGCATCTTGCTGTGCAGGGCATGAGAAAACTTTACAGTATATATGAGTGGGTGGATTCCCCCCTCCAAGAACTAATTTCCATTTAAGTATGCGCGATCCAATATAATATAAAATTTCCTCTTGTGTTGCAAGCTTTGGCCTCCTTGATTTATTTGTTTTTGAATCCCCTAAGCAGTCTCAGACAAATAACTGCTCCAAGGGGAGAGAAGACCCTCAGGCAAGTGATACTGCTTGCTGGCTTCCTGCCTCCTGAGACTTCCTGGAGGTGAGCCCAGCTTGGACCTCCGCTGAGCCCTCTGGCCCTCCGTTCTCTCCCCCGAAAAGCCAGGAGGCTGACTCAGATGCCCTCTGCAGCTGTGGGCTCTGAGGTCGTGTGGTTATTTCCTCTGAAGATAGAGCTTTCAGCGTGTCAGGGCCAAGCTGTGGAACCTTCAGACTCAGACACTGACCCTGTACCTGCAGGCAGTTAGACTGCCACTGGCTGGGAGAAAAAAGTCAGCATTATGAAGAACGACGCCATGATGTAAGTGACGGTGTCAATCAAAGATTGTGCGGACCCAGGAAGGGAACCGTGAACCAAAGAAGGGAACCAAAGAAGCCATGAAGGAAAGCTCTTCCCTTTCTCACGTGTGCTTTGAGAAGAGACGTGAACAGGCTAGTGAGGACAGTGTTACAGGGTAGTGGCCACCAAAGCAGAGGGCCTGAGGGTCATGACTCGAGCAGGGGAGGGAAGGAAGGGCTTGCAGTGACGACCCCCAATAACTGAATGACGGGAGCACGTGAGAAATGGAGGCCTGCAATTCGGACTTGGTCCTGCGCTTTCATGCTCTAGCGTCACCAGACAAACTCCCCTTACTGATGACCCATCTGAGGCGTGCAGAACCCTGAGGTGACCTTATCAGCAAGTTCACGATGTCAAACAGGAAAGTATGGTTGCAATGCGAAAGGATGGAAGTCACTCCTGCCTGCCAGCAGCACTACCCCCACTCCGGGGTATTCTCTCCCGGAAGGGAGGCTTCGGAGAATTCTTCGAAAACCACTGGAAAAATTCACCCTCTCATAAACGGGTTGGAATGCTAGGTGTGTAACCAGCTACACTGAAATGTTGTTGCAGCCAAACAGAGGAGACCTGAAGATTCAGTTCACATTCCCACTGTCTAGATCTGTCTTTGCAGTCATCTCTTAGGGGCTGGGCTTGCTCACCTCGGCTCTTAGTCTCGAAGAGCCGAGGCATTGGGTGGCACTAACGCGCACAGAATCCCAGTTTAGAGGAAAACCGTGTCTTCGGGAAGGAACGGGAGGCGGCAGGGCAGCGCGGCGCCATCTTACTTGTGGCCCAGCTCATGGGCGATGGTGAAGGCCAGGTTGAGCCCGTTGTCTTCCGCGAGCACACACTTCCGCTTCGCGCTGCATACGCCTCCCAGGTAAGCGATTCCTGCAGCAGAGACACAAAGCATGTCCTCTTCAGGGGGTGGGGGCGGCCCTGAGCTCTCTGGGCAAGTCCACACAGTCAATACTAGGCACAATCGAAGAAAGGGCACGCGGGACGATGATGCCCACGGGGCTGAGCTCAAGGCGGGCTGGCTGGGGGAGGACGCAGCTCGTGCCCTGACCTGAGCCGCAGCGGCCTCTCTCGGGCATCGAATGGGCACCAGGACATGCGCTGGCAACTTGGCCATATTGTCTAATGTGCCCTCCTGACCCAGGGTGGAGGTATCAGCTGAGGCTCGGAGAGGAAAGGGAGCTTCCCTTCCTGACATCGTCTGGACTGGCAGCTGGTGCTGAGACACTAAGCCAGAACTGGTCAACTTTGAGACCAGCGCTGAGACCACGTGAGGCCAGCAAAGTGAGGCACCCAGCCTGAAGAGTTCAAAAAGTTTTGCTCACAGAAGCTGCCTGCTCTTGCATGTCCCCCGGGCGGGAGGCCGTCCTTGCCTCCTTGCGTTCCGCAGCCTGGGCACCTCCGCCCCGCCCCAGGCCTGGCCCTTGGTAGCTCGATACTCTCAGGCTGTAAGCTGGGATTGGGGGCCAAGGAAGGTGCAGAATGTTCAGGAAAATGCTTCAGGAGCCCTGGAGTGAGAAGGGGAGCAGCACCCCCAGGGACAGAGAGGAAGCAGGAAAAGGGGGCCTGGGAGCCATGGGTGAGGATGGACCCACACAGGGACTCGCTCCTCCCTGCCCACACCTGACTGGGAGAGGACCCTCTGTGAGACAGGAAACCCAACCAAAGCAGCCAGGAGGGATGCAGATGTGGGGGGGCAGGGTGAGCAAGGGGCTGAAACTGAGGATGGGGACTCCTGGCAGGAGGAAGGTGACCTTGCAGTGATGTGTGTGCACTCCGTGGGGCTCCGGATACACTGGCATGCTGAGGAATGTGGGATGGAGGCTCGGCCACATATCCAGGCTGAGCCCCTGTCTCCAGAGCCCGCCCCCCTTCCTCCTAGCTTCTGCTGTCTTGGTACCCAGGACAAACAGTTCGATCTTGAGCCTCTGGCGTGTTTCGGCTTGTTTCAGAAGTGCCCCCTGCCAAGTGACCAGCTGGACAGGCTAGTCCATGGACCCCTGAGACTTGGCACAGTCACGCAAGTAAGGACTGGAATTCTCTGCATCTTCCATCACGGTCCGTGGTAGCTGACGCCTGAGTGTACCTGGGGAAAGGTATGTACCAGCGGTGGCACCAGCTTGGGCCCCAGGCCCAAGAGGCTCAGGGCTCTCCTACGGTGAGATCGCAGGGACGTGGGGCACACGGTGGCCTGCTGGCCAGGCCCCTGCCATCCAGCAGAGTCTACTGGCCAGGCGGATGGAGGCTCAGCCAGTCAGCCTCTGCCCGTCAGCCCTGTGTGGGAGGCGTGGGCCACAGAGACACAGCCCCCCACCCAGCAGCCCCACTGGGAGGGCCCTTTTCACTAAAGCATACAAGGTATCTGGGGAGCTGATGGTCTCAGGCACGGGAGGCAGGAAAGAAGGAGTTGGCATTGGCGGTGGGAAAGGAACCAGGAATCAATTAAATTCCAAATACCTAAGTCAACATCCTCGGTTGACATCCAGTTCAAACCCCAGCCCCACACGGAGTTCTCCCCGCTCCCGACCCACCACAGGAGGGGCTCACCAGCTCCTGATCTGCAAGGAGATTCCAGGGGAGCCTGGCACCTCACTCCGTGTCTATTTTTCACTTGGAAACACGCAGTGTGCACAAGGTTGAAGAATTTTTTAAAAAGGGAAAATATGTTATTTGGTTTCAAGATACTTTTTTTTTGTGTACGTGGCCATCACAACCCGGCTGGCCATGCAGACGACTGGCAGCAGTGACAAGCAGAAAGGACGACTCTGGCTTCCTGGGGTCTTCAAGGTCGTTATTCTGGTTTTGTTTAAAAATGCTTTGTGGGTTGCTGCAGAAAGTCCAGCAGTGAGTAGGTGGAATGTGCCTACATAGCCCTGATGGTATGTGCACGCATGCACGCACTCGGACGCACACCAGGCGGTGCCCTCCCGGCCAGGCTACGGCCTCCTGGGTCAATGGATCAATTAGAAACAATCAGATGCTTGAGAAGGCGCCCGGCGAGGGGCGGGGCAGGGGTGGAGAGTGCAGGGAGGCTGGGAGGGCCAACTGTGCCCTGTGCCGGCTCTGCCCTCCCAGGAGAGCCCCCTGATCCCGCAGACTTTAACTGCCACACACACCGTGCCCTGGTCTCAGACACTCTCAGCCCCCCAGTCCCGAGTCTCCCCTCTCACTGGGTAACACTGGAAGCTGGAGAACCAGTTACGCAACGAGCCTTGCCATAATTGCATTTTAATTTTTTCCAAGACACAGATGATTTTTTCCCTTTTTACTAGAAAACAAAAGATCAGTCTATTTACATGAAATGCCCTCCCACCAAGGTGGATTAAGGTCGAGTGCTTTTAATGATTTATTCCATTCCTGAACTGCCTGGTCGTAAAACTGAGCAGGGCCAAATGCATACAAGAAAATGCCCAGCCGCCCCTCCCCATAACAGCGCTCAGGAGCCGAATGTATTTATGAGGGACGGTATGGAAATGCTTAGAACTCACAAAACAAAGTCTGGAGAAAATCCCAGGTTGTTGTAAAAGTAAGAGCTGCAGGGAATGAAAGGCAATTAAGCCAGGAGCTTCAGCGGAAAACAAAGCCCCACCGCTATTCCTGGCTGGTTCCTGGCCGCTAGAAAAGAGCACTGGGCAGGGAGACTGTCCGGCTGCAAAAGCTCCAGCCTAGAAGGACCTTGCTGATGCCCCCGGGGGCTTGTTGGACGTGGGGAGACCCGCCCCTTTTCTGTATGGGTTCCTTGTATGATCACAGGCGTCTTTAATACTCGTTTGGCGACACTCAGTGTGGCCGTGGCCCAGCGCGTTCCCACAGGGGGCTCCCACTTGGCAAGGACCACCTCTCGGGCCTCGAGCAGAACCTTCGGAGGGGTCAGCCTTCCGCCATTTAAAATTCCACCCAAAAGAATCAGAGGAGAACTCAGTTTTGAAAACTGAAAAACATCAATTCCACATGTTTGCAGAGTTCCCTGGAACAAGAGGGAGGCGGCATAGCAACTGGCACCTGCAGGCCCTGCCGGGTAAGCAGGGCTCCACAGAGGGGCCCCGACCTGGCCGGCGCCTGGCCCTGGGTTCCGGGCGGAAATGGGGGCTCAGGCCCCAGCGACGTGACTCATTGGGGCCCACACTGAAATAAAGATTCTCCAGCACCCACACGCCTCCAGGCAAATCCTGGGTGTCCCTCACCCAAGTCTGGGTGACCAGAAACCATGAATAATCTTGGAGGATTTAGAAGATTTTCATAAATCTTAATGTGTTTCTGGCGAGACACGGGAGGGAGAGACTGTTTCAGTGCAAAAGCTTTTAACCCTAAAGATAAAAAGCCTCGAGGGAGAGACACAGCATTTTCAGCAGCAACCTCTACTGCGTGGAGGGGTTATTACAGACCTTTCTAATTTTCTTTTCTTTTTTATTACTTAAGCCTAATAAAATGAATATGTACTTACTAGGAAAATTAAAGTTATTGCTTATGCCTCATTGATCCAAGGTGACGTATGGAAGAAGTGGGAGACCAGACACCCCCCGACCCTACGGATTTGGGCTCCCTCTGGGTGTTCTCTGTCAGCACATAATGGAGTGTGTTTGTGTGCCCTGGCAGCAAATCTCTCGTCTCTACTGCACCCTGGCACAGATTAGGGAAGCAGAACTTGTGCAGGGCAGAGTGTGTTCCGGTGAGCCCCCCTGAGGCCCAGAGAAGTGGACCTAATCCATCCGAAAAGCCGAACCTTGGGGCCCCACCCACCTGCCCACCTGTGTCCACTCAGCATGGCCACCCCCTCATTTCTGGTAGGAACACAGCTTGGGGGAAGAACCTGGGTGAGGAGGTTTAATTATTTTCCTTTTCCAGTAGAAGACTGTGTGGTGTAAGCAATTAAGTCTCCTATTCCTATTTGACCATCTGATCCTTTCTAGACTTAAGGAGTAAACAACGCACAACTGTATAAACTCTGCTTCATCCAGCAAATTGTCACGTGTAAACAGTTTGCAGCTGTTGGCCTTATTGCCCATTACTCAGATCTTCTCGGGCTCTCCCTATGCAAAAACAATAGTTGAGTTTCTCCCACAGACCACGCAAGGTCCCGACACCCTCATGATTTCCACGGGACCACCACGCAGCCCGTGTTGGCTGAGCAGCGCTGGGGACAGGGCAGGGGGTGGCACACTCAGGCTCACCAAGGGGCCCCTGTGTTCTCCGACACGTGGTTGCAGCGGATCTGAATCTGTGAACAGCTTTTTTAAGAGCAAATGTCTCGGAGTCTATTAGGTGACACATGAAAAATAATCTAGTGCCAGTTCTCGTTACTCATGACAGGCAGATTCTATAAAGTCACTGTAAACCCCGAATTCTCCCATAGAGAGTAATTCCTCATTACTCCTGGGGACATCCTGGCTGGGGTCCTGTGAGCTTCTGTCCACACCTCACCGCACCGATCATTACAGGATCTTGTTTCATGCGTGCATCTGTTATTTAGTCACATCGTCAGTAACGCTGAACTCTAAACTGCACTTCAGCGTGATCCTCTTCCACATTCAACTCACCTATTAAAAGCACCAAGAAACCACAGCACTAGATAGACGGTGAGCTGATTGTACAAGGAGAGCTGAAGCCAGAAGCCAGTGCTTTGCCTCGCGTGGCCCGGGGCATGCGGGTTTCACGTCTGCTTTAATAGCACCGCACATACTGATATGAAGTAGCAGGCACATGTTAGCCAAAGGGGAACTCCCAAGTGCGGACTCCAGGAGTGATGAGCACTGATTGCATTCTAGGAAATCCCAGCCTCCGTGAGGGACAGTGACGTCCTCACCCATTGCAACGGGGAATTTCAGCTCTCCCAAGTGCGGCTTCCCTCCCCTAACTCTACCTAAGTTATGTAA